TGCCACAGAGAGGTGGGGGTCCCTCTGCCCTCCCCCACCCCAGGCCCTTGCGGCTCTGTGCAGTGACACCTACACACCTGGGTTGTCACTCTCTCTCATCTGTTTGGAGGGTGGCTCCTCAGTGTCCCAGGGCGTGGACTGATTGATGGGCGTCTGTCCCCACCGGATGCTGGTGGCTAGTCCCTGGGACGGATTGTCTGTCTTGGAGATGCCAGGGGCCTGTGGAGAAAGGTGCACAATGGGGCGGTGAGTACAGGCTACAAGGGCCACTGCCTGGGGACCTACCCCACCCTAGAAGATGACTCTGGTCTCCTGGGTGTCATCCACTGAGCTGGGGAGGCAGAGGCTGGCCCTGCACATGGAGAGCCATGTGGGTCTCAACGGATCCTCTGACCAAGTCCTAGCAGCTGTGGCGTCTGCAAAGCTTCTGCCCGCCGGAACCCGCCAGGTGACCCTGCAGGCACTCCTCCAGCTGAGTGGGTCCACAGGGAGGGAGCATTCTGTGCCGGGGGTGGAAGCTTCCCCAGCCTTCTATCGGGAAAGACAGGTCACAACAAAACAATTGCTGCCCATTTATCTCTGGGCTCGTGCCGAGAACGGGTGGAGCCCAGGCAGACCAGTGCCACCAGGAGTTCCGCTTTTCTTCACGGAAGAGCATGCGTCCCCGGAGCCCCTCCATCAAGCCACTGGCACAGGTGCATAGAGGCCAAGGTGCATCAGCAGCTACCAGGGGCAGGTGGGAGGCAGGGCAAAGGGACAGCTCCTGCTTAGGGGCTACTGAGTGTCAGGGACTGAACTGTGTCCCCGAGATAGAAAGCCCCGGTGGCTGCAACAATGGGCTCTCACCTAGGGACAGCGGCGAGGGTAGCGCGGGGGCTTTTGTCATGTGGCACATGGGTTGTGAGGATCAGAACCCATGACAGCATCTAACAGCAGGAACAACCAAAGAAGAGCTGCACTGGGACTCCTAACCCCTCTCATTGGGGGTAAGGAGCCTGGGGGTGCAGTGATTACATGCGAGGTCAGCAGTTCAAAGCCACCAGCAATGCCCTGGAAGAGAGATGGGACTTTCTGCTCCCATAAAGGGTTACAGTCTAGGAGACCCACAGAGGCAGTTCTACCTTTGCCTCTAGGGTGGCTCCTTGTTGGCATCGCGCGATGGCATTGTGTTTGGTTTAGTTTGGAGTTCATTCCTTAAGGCCAGCTGCCGTGGATGGGATAGTACAGCAGGGAGAAGGTATATCTCCCAGAGTGGGAGAATCCCCAGAGAGAGCCGCCTTCTAGGAGCTGGTGCTCCAGACACACCCTTCTAAAGAGAAAGCAAACCTCTGCTTATTAAAGCCGCCACTCTGGGTTTCTGTTGCAGCTGCACCGGCAGACTCAGACCGGGGGCTTCTGTTAATGGCGATGGGACCGCCTGGAAAGGGGTAATGGCCATGGGTGAGCAACACCATCAGCATGACGAACACCACGGAACTGTACACCCGAAGGCTGAAATGGCAAATGATTTGCTAACACACACACACACACATACACACACACACACACACACACACGTTCCTTATTCTGCCCCCAATCAGCCTTTGAGATCCCACAGCAAATCGCTGGGGAGCTGTGAGAGGTCAGTGGATGCTGGTACCAGGGCAGGAGGCAGGGAGCCCCGTCAGCAGAGACACCCCAGGACCCTCGCTCCCCATCCACGGCTCAGTCTCTAATGCAGACACGTGTCCTGCTGCTGTTGCAAATGATCTTCCTACCATATCACAAACAGACTTCTTGTTGTGAGGTGCTACGGAGTCGGGTGCCAAAGCCACCCGATGCATCACAGAACAAACCACCGCCCGGTCTTGCACCCTCCCCAATCCACAATCCACAATCGCTCTTAGGTTCGAGCCCACTGGTGCGGTCACCGGTCACCGTGTCAATCCATCTTGACAGGGCCTTCCTCTTTTTCACTGCCCCTCGACTTTATCAAGCATGAGGTCCTTCTCCGGGGACTGGTCTCTCCTGATAAGATTCCATCTTGCTGGATGGAATGCATGGGAACGCAAAGGACTACATCTATGGAAAGAGATGATGGAGTTGACCCCAGCCCAGTCAGAACAAGGGCTGGGGCCAACTGCAAAACAGACCACCAGGTACACATATGCAGGTTCAAGTTGACGCGGAAGAGAATTACATCAATGAGAATATGTGTGTGGCAGGGTGCAAACGGACACTGAGACACACTGTTTCCCCGAGCAACAGTCACATGTCGGAAGCGGACATGGCCATTGGAAACAATCGCGTCCATGAAGAATTTTTAGTGCAGTGGCAAGAGGCTTACACTATGACATTAAACGAGAAGGTGGACATGGGAGGAGCCGATGCATGGAGGGAAATGACCAAACCACTAGCAGGGATGCTATCCTTGGGTCAGGGGGCTATGGGTAACTTTGATTCTCTTGTCATTGTGGTTATGCTCAGGACTGCTCATGGCAAGTTCAGCGGTTTGAAACCACCAGCCTGTCTGAGGGCGAGTGGTGAGGCTTCGTACTCCTGTCGTAAAGACTCACAGTCTGGGAGACACACAGGAGAAGTCCTCCAGGGTCCTACAGAGCCGCGGTGAGTCGGCATCGACTGGATGTCAGTGAGCGCTGAGTTGAGACTTTTCTACGATAGCCTTTATGGAGAGAGCACAGCAGGCACAGTGCAATGAGCGTTGTTCGAACCCTCCGATTGCTCTGAGGGAGAACGGAGTCGGGTTGCTTCCGTGAAAATCGACAGCCGTGGAAGTCCCACGGGGCGGATCTTTTCCGCTCGACGGGGCTGCGACGAGTCACAATCCACTTGCCAGTAGTGGGTTTAGGGGGTAGTTGGACGTTTACATAAAACTAGCAAAAATTTTTTAAAAATCCAACAAGGCCTTGGCGAGACAGGGCCTTGGGTAACAGGGAAATGCAAGGGTGGGCATCTCAGTGGAGACGGTTCCAGTAAGTGTGACCACAGCTTCCAGGAACTGCAGCCAGAGCCAGGCTCAATGGAGGACAGGGCTGGGCTGGGCCAGGGCCAAAGGGGTCCCTCCCCCCCACGGGGGTGTGGGGTGTGGTGGGGCGGGCATGTGTAGGTCTCTCCCCTGTAAAGGTCACAGCTGGAGAAGGGCCCAGCTGCGTCTCTTCTTGTGCCTTGAATCCGGAATTCTGGTGGAACTAAACCTGTGACCCAGCAGAGCCGGCCGCTGGGCCTCGCCAACAAGCATGCCTCTCCCAGGCCGGCCCGGAGTGGGTGGGAAGCGTAGCACACACTGGGGCTGGGATGCATAATGCGGATGACAAACAGTGCCTGCATTAGGGCCTGCTGGGAACGCAGGAGCTGCATCCCATTAGGACCTGTGGGCTGTGTTGCGCTAATTGCATTAGGCTGCACTTTATCTCTGGCCCGCGTTTCAGATGCTCCGCTTCCATGAACAGAGCAGGAGACAAAAGAAAAGAGCGAATCTCCCGAGGACAGAACAATTGAACAGACAAGCTTCCTTATCAGAGGGCCCTGGCCCACTTCTATCTGCGGGGCAGATGGGAAGCTAGGGGGGAGTGGGCAGGAGGGGATGATGCCACACGCACCCATAGTTGTGTGGAACAATAGGTGGCTTTTTACAATAATAGACACCTCTCAGCGCCTGCCCTAGCTGAAGGAGGAAGGCACCTGCCCCCTGGCTGTATCTCCGGGCTCTCAGGTGCTGGCAGTGTGCAGCGCTTTCGTCCCTGGAAGGAAGGCATCTGAGGGGGACAGACTGAGGTTGTGAGATGCCCCACTCAGGACTGGTGGAGGTGGCGTTCGAAGGCTCAGCTCCCAGCCTGCGGTTGGAATCCCTCCTGCCAGGAGGGGGCACTGCTGCCCCTCTCTGCTGCCCAGGTGTCTTCAGCCTCCCAGGCAAGAGGCTATTTTGGTTTTCAGGTTCCTCATCCAGCCGCCATTTCTCCCCTGCTGAATCAGCACGCGGCCTGGACGGGCAACTTCACAGGGGAGGGGAGGATTCTGGAAACTTGGAAGGCCCTGGGTCCTGGGCGCCACACTCCGTAGTCTGGGTAAACAGGCTCTGGGTTTCAAAAACTCCCCCGACCCCTTTTTTTTTGCCCTATAATTGGGCATATTCTTAAAGTTGAGAAGTCACATACTTTGTGGGTATGCCTTGCACAGGCGCATGGCTTCGAAACACTCCTGCTAGCCATGAGTTGCTCCTTGGTTGAGGCCACCTATCTGGAAACACGCCTGGACCTCCTGCTCCTCGGCAGGCTCTGGCTGAGGCACGGGACGGATGTCACAAGGGAGAGACGAGCCAGTCAGGGTGCAGTGTAGCGCCGATGAAGCATACAACTTTCCTCTAGTTCTTTCATGCTTCCTCTCCCTCCTGTCATGACCCCAATTCTACCTTGCAAATCCGGCTGGACCAGAGCATGTACACTGGTATAGATCAGAGCTTGCAACACAGGGAATCCGGGACAGATAACCCCCTCAGGACCAATAACGAGAGTAGTGATACCAGGAGAGTAAGGGGAAGGTGGGGGAGAAAGGGAGAACCAATCACAAGGATCTACATATAACCCCCTCCCAGGAGGATGGACAACAGCAAAGTGGGTGAAGGGAGACAGCATGAAACACTGTTAAAATAAATTATCAAGGGATAAAGAGGTAGGGGGGGTGGGGGACTGTGGAAGTGAGCTGCTATCAAGGGCTCAAGTAGAAAGAAAATGTTTTGAAAATGATGATGGCAACGTATATACAAATGTGCTTGATGCAATGGATGTATGCATAGATTGTGATGAGAGCTTTAAGAGCCCCCAATAACATAATTTTAATAAGAAATAAAAAGGTTGTTTAAAAAAA